GCAAGAATTGTATTCTGACTTCGATTTATTAAATATCCTTTACAAAAAATTATTTATTATAGAAATAACTGTATATGTTCAATAGTTTTTCTTTTTTTGTAAATATAATTTTAGTCACATTTCTATTTTTCTGTCCATCACAAATTCCTTTTTCCTTTGTACTGGATTTTTTCTATAAAGACCTTTAAAAAACTATTTACCTAGGATTAGTTGCAGCTGAGGCTGCATTGTCACAAATCAAGAGAAAAGACCAATGAGAGAGATGAGTGTGTGTATTGCAGCTCTAGAGTCACACATGGGCCTATAAAGAACCATCACTGCTATGGGAGACTTAGGCAACAGAAATCATAAGTGCTTCATGTACACTAAGTCATTTGATCCCCATAACTACCTTATGAGGAAACTACTATTACTATTCTCATTTTACAGATGGGGAAACTGAGGCTTAGAGAGGTTGAGTATCTTGTCCACCATCACAAAACCCAGGTCTATCTGATTCTAGAGCCCGTGCTCTTAGACATTCTGAGATATTCCCTCCAACACCCAGAAAAAACTCTTTATAGCTTTCTGGATCTTCTCTTTAAGCAATACATTTCAAGGACATGTCACTTGCTGTAGGCTGCCAGCAAAATGATAACAGCAATAGTAGCAGCAACAAGACTTGCTGGTTTGGCACATTCTTTGCACTCATCAATACAGGTAGTGACAGGTCCAATTGGTATTTGTTAATAGATTGTCATAGTGTCATCAAGGATGGAATGGACCCACATTTGGGTGAGGTAAAGACATAAAGTGTAACTATAATGTTTGTACCCTCACAAAACCCTGGAATAAAAAAAAAAAAAAAAGGATGGAATGGCTTTCTGATCAGTAATATTGAAAAGTATGAGGCCAAGGTGCAGTTATAGTTGGTGGCATAAGCTTAGTCAAACTTCCTCTTCAACTGAGGGAGTGGATATTTTTTAAGTATATGTGCATGGAAAAAAATTGTTTCACATGATCCATTGTAGAGCTAGGCCTTTCTTTGAACAATAGCAGAGAGAAGTGTGGTTTAATTCGCTTCTCCAAAGCCTTGATTGTCCTTCAGATATCATTTCCTTAAAATCACCTATTTATCTTATACCTTACATGAAGTTTACATTCTACTCAATAATATACACATGCATGTTAAAATATAAAGATGTTTATATTATTTACCATTAAGACTGATGGTTTAGGAAGGTTCTCTCTGTCTCTCTTTCTCTCTCTCTCTCTCTCTTTTCACACACACACACACACACACACACACACACACACACACAGACTTTAAGACTTCTGGAACAAAATGTGATTCGGGATAAACTTTTATTATGTATAAATTATATTTAAAATGTTCAAAAAGGAAGAATTATCAGGCTTCTTTAAGAAACATTCTCTTTTTGATGCAATGTAATCTTTAAATGTTCTTCACAAAGTACTTCTGATAGAAACAAATCTTCAGTGAAGAGGGAATGAATAATTGTCCGTGTCATTATTCTCATCTGTGACATTCTCATCAGAACATCTGTGGCACAAAACCTCGACGTATCAGTATGCGCTACTAAAGTTTTAGTTTCTCCCATTTGAGTTGGCCTTGGAAGCCTGCTGATTTGGAAAGATCTGAGTCATGGGAAGCATAGCTTCCAGTTTGGGCTCAGTTATTCACTAGCTCTGTGACTTTATGCTAGTAATTTACATGCTCTGGAAATCAGTTTCTTTATCCATAAAATGAAGAGTTCAAGCAAAATGATATCCAGCTTTGCTGTTGTTTGGTAGAAAAAGGAATCAAGTTCTTTGCTAGACTTGGCTCAACAAAGTTAAAAAGTAAAAATTTTAAAATTTCAAAGGCGACTTTGGTCTGGGAGGTGTGTGTAAGTGTGCGTGTGCATGTGTGTCAGGCAGGTAGTTGAAAGACCATCCTAATCCCCGCTAGTCTGGAGGCTGAGGCTGGAGAATCCCTTGGGCTCAGGAGTTTGAGATTACAGGGAGCTATGATCATAACACTTCACTCCAGCTTAGGCGACAGAATGAGACCCTGTCTCCAACCTGAGTGGGATGTTTTGTGTCCAGTCCAAATGTACCACTGTTATATCCCTAGATAGTCCTCTTAACTCTAGGAAGTAACCAAAATTTTGACTGTAGAGGTGAAACTGAAAGTTAAGTTTAAATCAAGTTTGAACACAATTTTTACTTGGAGTAATAAACCTTTTCTCTTGAACAAACAGTCTCAGCTTGGGAGTTATTAATAGTTTCCAAAAGCTCCATGGGACAAACATAGGTTTGAGCTCACTTTCATGCCATCTTCTGTACCCCTTGACAGGATTTCTCTGCCAGCTTCTTAGACTTTTCAGTCTCTTGCCCACTTGACTTGACACTCATCACATGTCCTCAGGGTTAAAGCAACACAGAATGTTAGGCTCATCTCAGTGGGCTTCCTGTCTTCCCGCAACTTCGATCGTCATATCCTGGCTGCCTTAGAAGCTCTCCAGGGTCTTCAGTATCTTTTCTAGTTATTCTTAGACAGTTACATTGGTTGGCTATAAGTCACTTTGTCATAGCCAGAAGCAGTAGTTCCTTAGTTTATTTTCTTTGTATTAAAACTGTTTTCTGGATGGTGTATTGTACAAAATTCTGCTGCTTTACTCAGAATTAAAGGGTGTGATTAGCAAGTTTGGTTATTAGGCTACTTGGATAAATGAAGTGCCAACTTTCATTGGTTTTTCATTTGCCTTAGTTAGATGTGTCATTTCTTCCATTTCATACTTTTATTTATCTTAGTGAAGGCAATATTTCAATTATATATTTCAGTGAATATTAGAGATAGTAAAAAATTTTTATTAAAAATTATTATTTAAATTTTTTATTAAAAGTTAAGTACAGCACTAGAATGCACAGCGAAACCTAAATTCAAAAGAGTTGTATTGTTATAATCAATATGAAAAACAGTATAAGAAAGGCTTTTACAAATGTCGTAGTATGTCTCTTGTTTTACATTTATTTTCTCTTGACTAATAAGCTTTGTTTAAATCTGTCTTTTTGTGGGAAAAATAAAATAATGTCTTAAAAATTACTCATCTGTGTTGTAGTTCATGAGTAAAATCATAAACATGACTAGACATACAACTTCTACCATTAGAATTTATAAGTCAATTATTAACAGAAAAAAGAACCCAAACATACTCTAACCAGAGTATCAGATGGCAAATCTAGAATCAGCAACAAAATTCCTAGATTCTCTTTTTCCTTATATCTTCATTTGCTTATTGTAATGAAGGGCCTTTGGGGCTGGGATATTTCTACTAACTTATATAATAATGAGAAAATCTGTCTAACAGGTAAGGGCTAATATTTGACTTTTTTTTTTTTTCATTTTATTCTCTGTGGAACCCACAAGAATGTGCCTTACAGACCTCCAACTACAGGAAGCTTACATGACCAAGGTCCCAGCTGCTGTGCTCTGAAATCCATTGCTGCTTTTGTGCTTTGGACTTACTTCCCAAGGGCTGTTCCCAGCCAGTAACTGAGAAGATGGGATGCTAAAGCTGGATCCCATCCCTGCATGGGATGCAGGGATGCTAAAGCTGGCCTTCCCTGTCCTTGGGAGTCATGGCACTGCTCTGACTGCTCCCTGGCTTGAGCACTGCCTGATGGGCTTGCTGAACCTTCCTCAGATGGTATAGCAATGCAGGATGAGTCCACCTAACCTTCCCTGCCCCTGTCCTCCACTCAGGTCAGATTTGCACTGTGGTCTGCCAGCTTTCCTGGTCTTCCTTGGCTCCCTCCCCATTTTCTATTACAGGAATTTCCCTTAATGAAATTCTTGTATGTTCAATCCTGTCTTGGCATTTGCTTCTCAGAGGTCCTAGACTAAAACGTTCTCCTACTATGTCTATGAAAAGATACTATCATATGAAATTACTGAGGAGAGAAAGGATGTTTGCTGTAATTTTAATGACAATATTCTAATACTGCTAGATTCTTAAATTTAGGGAAGTTAAAACTTCCTGTAATGGAGAACTATTCTCTCAGAAATTTTTTCTTTTATTAGTTCATTGATAATCTCTTTGCATGCAAACTTAGTTGTAGAAGGACTTTGAATTGTTACAGTGGTCAGATCAGGAGCTCAGGTTCTTAAAATATGTAAATTTACTCAGGATGATTGAATGGCTGTGTACTAAACAATTCATAAATCATCTTTGAGAAATATAAGGTTATTTAATGAGAAATTAAAACTTAATGTTTCTGACGGTGTGTTGATAACTGATATTTTGTTGAAAAGCAGAAAAATCAATACAATAGGTAGTAGCAAATTTGTTTCTTGCAAATAGTTGGTAATTCTTGCCTTTATTTTGTATGACTTATGTAAGAGTACTTATTCTTAGTATGTTAGTGTTACAATTTTTCTGTCTTTCTTTGCAGAATCATAGCGAAAGATTTGTTTTCATTGCGGAGTGGTATGATCCAAATGCTTCACTTCTTCGACGGTTTGAACTTCTGTTTTACCCAGGGGATGGGTCTGTTGAAATGGTAAATAAGCCTTTCTTTGCTTGAATGTTGGCAAAGGGGGTAAATGTGGATAGGGAGAGGAATAGGCTTGCCTTTTGTATAATTACTTTTTAAAATACATTTTTATATGTATGAATTCTTTTTTGTTATTCATTATAATTCTAATTTAAGAAGATAACTTTGTGCCTTTATTTTTAATGTCAAAAATAGGCAAATATTCTTGGTTAGAAAACTGAAGTGGGATTATTTACGTTTTAGATTAAGCAATAACTGATAAATTGTTATAGATAAATATTATGCTCATAAATATGCCACCATTATTGCTATCGAGAAGTTAAATTGAAGAGGATTGCACTAAGAGAGCCTTGTTTATTTATTTGTGTCCTTTCATTGGCAACACTTTTAACAAATAGATCTATTTTGTATTGGGATTTTGTATATACAAGAAAGCAGGAATTTGGGTGTATGACTGTCTTTCTTTGGGATTTATAGGCACTAATTTACTGAATAATTTGGCAATAAAAGATCTTTATATTCAGGTTTTAAGTATTAAATTTCCAATAAGAAGCTTTTATGTTATTACTAGATTGGATTAGGAAATACCAAAGTTATAAAAAAATGTATGATTTGTATTTATAGCAAAAAGGGAGTGGAATGTAACCTATCTTTGATAAGATAGAATTAAGAACTATTTCTACCTTATAATCAGACGAATATTCCTTACTGATTACTTTTTTTATTGTATTGTTGTTTTTGGTTCTAGCATGATGTAAAGAATCATCGTACCTTTTTGAAACGCACCAAATATGATAACCTGCACTTGGAAGATTTATTTATAGGCAACAAAGTGAATGTCTTTTCTCGACAACTGGTGTTAATTGACTATGGAGATCAATATACAGCTCGTCAACTGGGCAGTAGGAAAGAAAAGTAAGAAACCAATTACATAATCTTTTTTTCCTTTTCTTTACTTTCTTTCTTTTTTTTTTGAGCATGGTCCTGCTCTGTTACCCAGGCTGGAGTATAGTAGCATGAACATAATTCACTGCAACCTCAGACTCCTGGGCTCAAGCAATCCTCCTGCCTCAGCCTCCTGAGTAGCTGGGACTACAGGGATGATTTTTTTATTTCTTGTAGAGACGAGGTCTGGGGATCTCCTTATGTTGCTCAGGCTGGTCTTGAACTCCTGCCCTCAAGCAATCCTCGGCCTCCCAAAAGGCCGGAGGAGGAGGCTGGGATTATAAGGATGAGCCACTGTGCCCTGCCCACTTTTTGCTTTTTATTGTTTCTTTTTATCTCAAACTTTCTGTTTGGAATGATTTTACATTTGTTTAAATTACATTTTTGAAGAATTTCTTTTCAAGTGTTTCCACTGGTAGAAAACTCAGTTGGTACACATTTGAAAATGTCTTTATTTCCCCACTTACATTCTTGAAACTATTTTCTTATCTATGTTGTATCTTTTTGTTTCTCTGTACTTTATTCTGAATTTTCTCTGAAGAATTCTTTCTCAGTTGCATGTAGTCTTCTGTCAAACTGTTTGTCTAGTTCTTATTTTCATCACCAAATATTCTATTCAAATTTACTTATTATTTATAGCTTATAGTTTTCTGTTTCTGCATGATATTTTGTAGCTTGCCTTTTAGTCCTTTAACCGTAGTTTGCATGGTCATTTTACAGTTTATATCTGATTAATTTCAGTGTCTAAACTATTTGTTTGTCTCTTTCTGTTCTGTGTTGTTTCTTCTGGTTCTCCCTCATGTTAGTCTTTTCCCTTCTGTGTGGGTGAGGGGGTTATTTTTGTGTGATGACAATTGTCATGTGTGTATATGTGATATATGCAAGCTGTGTATTTATATATTAATTACTTTGGGTACAGGATGAAATTCCTTTCTTCCTAGGGAGATATTGTGTTTGTTTCTGTCTATTTCCTGGAGGCATTAACAATCCGTATGACCATTACCCAAGTTCAAAAATTGGAGGTTCTGAGACTACCTAGGTGATGTGACCTTCTGCTGCCAGGCCATTCAAGGCCTGCCTGGTTCTTTGTGGTTCATGCTAAGGGCTGGGTAGGTGGGTAGCCTTTGGTCCTATATTATTATAGGGAGGATCATCTGTTGGGTTCTGTTCCCCTCTCCCAGTGATGTATTACAAATTAAAGTTCAAATTTGCCAGAGGGGCAATGATGTCAAGTCAAAGGCAACTTTCATTCTCACTTTTCTGTGTCCCCATTTTTTTTCACTTTTGTCCTAATACCTCTTGATCATCTAGTCAATTCATCTTTGCTTTTATAAAAAAGTTTTAAAAAATATCCATTTTTTTAGTTTTCAGTAGAAGGATTGCTCTGAGTAACTTTGCCATTGTTGTCAATCAAAAGCCTTGACTCAGTGCATTTTCCTCTAGTGCCTCATATAAGACTGTTTTCCTTTATCCATTGGGCAAACACACACTTTATGCTTGCAAAGAAAACATAAAATCAAACATAAATTTAGCCTTGGGTTCATGTTTAGAATGGGCTTTTATATACTTAAGGCATATATAAACACCTTTTAAAATATTTACATAAATTAGTGTAGATATAAGTTTACATATCTGTTTCTTCTGTTCAGTGGCATTCGAAGAGTCCATAAACATTGTAATAACACATTTATTGTACAGCAATAGCACTGCACTACCTAGAATGTTGTTGTACTACACTCAGTCATCTTTCTCACAAACCTGTTTGCTGCAATGTTTTCTCAGAGCCTGACGGTATATGAAGAACATATTTTTTGCATGGCTCTGTGAGAATTGTTATTTTTCAGAAATCTGTATCCTGAGTTTGTGAAGGCAGGCCAATTGTCTAATGCTAAGAAGTTTTAATGTTAAATAATGATTTTCATAATTTTGTGCTTTCTTTTGAGACTATCTCAAGCTGCATCTACTACAGTGCTTGCCTCAGTGCAGGCAAGAGGATACTATGTGTTAGATTGTTATATTGATGGCCCCCAATGAATCATGCCTACTGGAAAACATGTCCTTGTCTAGCCTCCTCTCACAGTGACTCTGGGCTTGACTATGTGACTTGCATTGGCCAAAGGAACATCAGCAAACGTGCCTCAAGGGGGATCTTGATAAGTTGCGTGTTCACTGGTCCCTATGTGGCTGTATATGAAGAAGCCTGATCTAGCCTCCCTAAGGATGGGGGACCACAGGAAAGAGAAGCACAGCTTCTCAGCTGAGCACAGCCTCCAGCTCATCCTCTAGCCGAATGCAGCTGTACGAATGATCCCAGGTGAAGCCACTACCCAGCCAACCTACAGAACCTCGAGAAATTGTTGTTTTATGCCACTGCATATTGGGGTGGTTTGTTATGCAGCAGTAGGTAACAGAGGCACTATTAATATATTAATATTTTTGTGGCCCTTTTGTTTGTGTGCTGTCTTTACCTTTAAATAGCACATATGATTCCTGATGTCTGTCTTATTTCCCCTGTAAAATACATTTAATTGTTACCTACTGAACAGTTAAGCCACAAAGATAAGACAGAGGAGTTTATTTAGTGTAATCATGTAATGAAATGCAATCAACCCATTGTCTCCTGCAGGCAATTAAAGAGAAAATGAAATTATATTTTAAAATAAGTTCCGTCAGCTTTGGACTTTTCACATTGTATCTTGTTTACAGAAATTAATTACTACTATGTTTTATATTTTCTTTAAGAGCTATGGTTAGTGAAATGTTCTTTCAGAGTGTAGCATAAACAATTTATAGATTGGTTTGGCTTATGATATTTAAACTAAAAAGAGTTTTAACTGTATTTTCTATGATACCATATAATATAAATTAATATAAGTGACTCATCTGCTTCAAAATAAAGAAAAAGATTATCTGCTATAGTTTTTAATAAACAGATTAAGATGAACAATTTGTTATTTACAGTTTCAAATCCCAGCCATAAGTTACTGTAAGTAAGGGTATTTTAATTATATTTTCAGCTATGTTTGTCTTGTTGGTGAACAAAGCCAACTATGAAAAGGCCAACTGTTCTCCTTTCATGGATTCCTTGAATTAATGCCAGTGTTGTCAGAACAATTGGAAATACGGAAGGGAAAGTTGCAGTAATTCTTCATCATGTAAACTGAACTACTCCAGCTAATCTGGGTTTTATCTTGCATTTGCAAATATTATTCTTGAGGGTTTGGTGATGATGCCCCTTTTTAATAATACTAATAGTAACATTATTTGTGATGTGGAAGGAGCATAGACGTGGGAGTCTGATGAGTTGGGTGTTTTGTCCCAAACATGCTACTGACCAGCCATGTAACCTTTGGCATGTTACCTCTCTAGGCCTACTTTTCTCATCAGTAAAATGAGGACACTAAGATGATCTCTCTCTCCACATTCCTGTTACTTCTGAGACTTCAGAGGGGAAAAGTGCATTGTTCTGAGATATCCTCTTGGAGGAAAAGATAATTTTAAAAGTTAGGATGGTGTTTGCTATTCATATACATTGTTGAGTAAGAAGACATTTGGTTCTTTGCATATCACCCATGCTATGAATAAAGAGTCAAGAGAAGAATTTGTAATTATTTCCAAATCAATGCTGAACTGACTGCATAGCATACGTATGTTGAAATCTAAGAGAACAAAAACCAAGCTATTAATGTATTTAGTGCAACATTTTAGAGATTAGTCTTTGTATAAAATGTATGCTAAGAAATAGAACATTTAAATTTCTATTTTCTAATATGAGCATATTGAAAATAAAAATTTTAATGTTTTTTCCCTAAGCTTTATTTTTTTTCTAAATTTGATGTCTAATTTTGATTTCTTTGGGAAAAATACTAAAACTTAAAAAATACTAAACTTACTTTGTGTAAGTTTTTAAAAGATGTCTGTAATACACTTCTCTCCCAATATGCAGTGGCATAAAACAACAATTTCTCGAGGTTCTGTAGGTTGGCTGGGTAGGGGCTTCACCTGGGATCATTCATACAGCTGCATTCGGCTAGAGGATGAGCTGGAGGCTGTGCTCAGCTGAGAAGCTGTGCTTCTCTTTCCTGTGGTCCCCCATCCTTAGGGAGGTTAGACCAGCCTTCTTTATATATAGCCACATAGGACCATATAATTAATTTCAAATTTTGATAATCTAGGATGATTATTAAGGGAACTACCACTGCTTGGGAATTATAAATAAAAACTGCTGAACTATATTTATTTTCAAACCTATTCTTTATTTCTTTACAGAACATTAGCTCTGATTAAACCAGACGCAGTATCAAAGGCTGGAGAAATAATTGAAATAATAAACAAAGCTGGATTTACTCTAACCAAACTCAAAATGATGGTGATTTCAAGGTAATCTGTTGATCATTTTCAGTTATGTAATGTCTAGGTTCCTTTTTAAAAAATGATCTTCTACCTTTCATGTCATTGTTTGAAATAAGGAACTTCCCACTGAATGGCAAAGAATAGAATAGTAATCTTACCAGAATGAGAACAAGAAGACAATAGGTGATCAGATGCATGAATAACCATCCAACTATAAACACTTAGGAGTCGTCAAATTATATATGCCTCATTTAACTATTTATTTAACTATTTATTATCTTTCATAGCCCCATCCGCTTTTGTAACACCAATGCTTGATAATTACAATCTCTCCTTAATATACAATTATAACACTATATAGAAGTGATAGAGGAAATGAATATCTCATTATTTCTATTTGACAAGGGGATGCTCCTTAGCTCCTCTTAATATATACAATAGGTAAAGTATACCTATTTACTACTCTGAAAAGCAATCCAACCTATCTGACCATATATTTTCTCATTTATTTAGTGAAAATAAGACTTACACATCCTATTTAGCCCTTTCTGTCATGAAGTAAGTAACTCCAACCCATGATAAAATTGTGTTTCTACCTTGGCAATGGAAAGGAAAATATTAACAACATCCAAACAAAGAATAGAGGATTGGGACAACCTTCTCTTAAGTTTTTTTAGAGAGCCTTTCAGAAAAAAACACACAACTGATCTTTCTATGATATTGGACACTTACTTTTTAAAAATTTCTACCAAGTAAGCAAAGCAAAGACTGCAACATTCCAGAGGATGGAGAAGGGAGATGGGCGTCTATTAGGGCAGAGGCTTGTGGCCTGTGACAGTAGCACTGGTATCTGCGGAGGCATGAATGTAGCAGGTAGGCGGAGCTAGCTCCTGTAGTGTCCTTACGTTTCTCCACTAGTTAGTTTGTTTGTTTGTTTTTGGTCAGGTGTCTTTCTACTGCTTCAAGAAATCATCGCTTTATGGGTATCTATTCCATGGGTCGGTTGCAGTTTTGTTTCTTTGAGAACAGGGACAGTGGATAGCAGTGGACATTCAACTTGGCTTTGATCCGTCTGATGCCTAGAAACCTTACAAGACACCCTCAATTTTATCCCCAAAGCAACATATGCTAATTTTAACTTTTCCCCTATGTAAGATCTTCCAGTTCATATATTTTCTAGAGAGGCAGGAGGCTGACATTTCGGAGCACATAGTCTAGAGGCAGATGGCTTGTTACTGTGCCACTTACAAGGTGTATGACTCTGAACAAGTTACCACTGTGCTTATTTCTTCATCTGCAGAATGAGAGTACCTATTTCATAAAGTTGTGATATAAAAGTACCTATATCATAAAGTTATAAGGGTTACTTGAGTCTTATGTCTCCACACCTCTAGTGTTCGATGACTTGGCATCAGACTTCCTGTGATAAAGATGCAACTTGTTTACTGTAATAGCTCTATAGCACGTGAAGAAAGATGCTAGAACCAATTAACATTTTAAGAGCACCATAGGGAATATATTTGCTAATATTTCCTTGGGAACTTGAGGCTTATTAATTCCATCCATGCCTTATAAAGCTCTCCATCCTTTGGAGGGCCACGAATACAAACCCTTCCAATTACTTGTCCACACACATTCATTCATTTAGTGTTGTACACTTTCTTTCTCTGTAGTCCTCTGACTACACCCCTGGTCACTAATCTCTTATCAAACTCTTTTTACTGGCCCCTCAGGAAGTCAAATTTCATTGTAAACAAACATCTTGTGTCCACAGTGAATGTTCTACTGCCCCTCATCCCCGCCTCTTTCCTTTTATCATTTTCATAGGTCAGGCAAAGATGTTTGAACTTGATCCAGGAGACAATGGGGAACCACTGAAAGGTTTAAGCAGAAGAGTAACATGGTCAGATTTGCACGTTAGAGAAACGACACTGCCTGAAGGAAGAAAAGTCTATTATTAAGAGGCAAGACTAGAAGTAGAGACCAGTAGAAGATGACTGCTGTGGTCTAGCATAGGACAGATAATGGAGGCCTGGAGGGGGGACGTGCCAGTGGGAAGAAGAGATGGGCTACCAACTGTGTTGGTTCCCCTTGCCTCCATGTCCTGTAGGCCATAGGCCTGGGTGTATGCTGTGTACACAGTGGGTTGTATCACAACTGAGGAAGGGTGAACTTGGGTTACCAACTGTTTCATTAGCAAGCAATAAACAAGCCTGCTCTTTGTACTGAAGAGATACGTTACCTCATCCCTCAAGGTTGTTCACTGTAAACGCAACCTTGAGAAATGACTAGGATAAAGAGCAATCAGGGCCTTGCACTGTTGGCACACCCACTAAGGCACATTAGGAGCACGAGAGACCCATGGAGTTTCTCTCAATGTATAAATCTTGTCTAAAATGATTTGTTCAAACGTCAGTTCCTACATCGTGACACTATCTAGAAGGCAGCAGCTAAGTTCTATCTGAATTTGTATTTCTAGCCCAGGAGTTCGAAGTTGCAGTGAGCTGTGATCATACCCCACTGCATTCTAGCCTGGGCGACAGAGCAAGACCTGGTCTCCAAAAAAAAAAAAAAAACAAAAAAACCCCACAACAAAACATAACAAAAAATTTCTCTTATTAGTGATGCACTTGTTTATATCTGTTTCCTTCTAAACCTTTTATTGGAGGAATTAGGTAAGAATGGTAGGAAACAATTTATGAACTCTCATCCTGGTTTTAATTTTAGATTTCGAATGGAGATAACTTTGGAATTAGTGACATGTTGGAAGAAAACATTGAAATACTTTTAGTAATGTATTAAGATTTTTCTTTTCATTGATATTAAAGATTGTGGTTGTTTTTTCCTTTTTAGTAGTTTAGTTTTTTGTGTTTGAAAGGTTTAGAATTGGTAGTTTTAGTACTCTTCTGCTAACTCTTCTAATTTACTCCCCACATGAGTTTTTTAGACATTCAGTTTTACCCCATTTTAGCTTGTAAAACAATATATACAGTATCTCATTTTTGTGAATTCTTCTCCTTACCCTCTAGAATTTTTTTCCTGCAGTTGATAGTAGAAAGAGCATAAACAGTCAGAAATTTGCAGTCAGAGAGATTTGGGTTTGAATCCCCTTGTCTTGCCCTTACTAGCTCTTTGACCCGGACAAACTATGTATCCACGCTGAACTTCATTCTTTTCATATGTAAAATAAAGGTGATCATACCTATTTTAATATATTGTGAAAAATAAATATAATAATTTAATCATGGCTATAATTAACTCTAGAAAAAATGTGAGTTTTCTTCCCCTCCCCATGTCTTGGGATGAATTTTGTTTTCTATACTGGCATAGTATATTTTAGTAATCTTTTCATAGCCAAAGGGAATATTTCAGTACATTTGATTAGAATAAGCATATGCCCTGATATAAACTGTTATGTGAATTCATTTTGTAATAGGCCAATAAAGTCTTCAAAAACATTGCATTCCAAATTAATTTTCAAGCCTGAAGTGTTGATTCTTTGCTAGGGAACACTTTATCTTCTTTGCTATTTTTAAAAGTATTTGATGTTGATGTTTATTTGTCAATATTATGACCTCAGTTTAATGGCTTTAAGAAAACTATACAATTTTGAGACACCTGATTTGCTTAAAAAAAAATTCCTTAGACTTTTCAGCTGAATCAGTTTAAAATGTATTATTCTTTCATTGTCTCTATAGACACTCTTTTTTTTGAAGAGGAGACTAAATTAACTTTTTAATTAAATTAAACTAATTAATTAATTTTTTTGAGACAGGGTCTCTCTGTGTTACCCAGGCTGGACTTGAACTCCTAGGCTCAAGGGATCCTCCGGCCTCAGTCTATCTGAGGACTACAGGAAAATTTCTTTTGCTTTTCTTTTTATTTTTTCCCTTTTTCCTCTTTATTTTGTAAATTTCATATAATAATTGTACATATTTATGGTATACATAGTGATGTTTCAATACATTCTATAGATAGTCTTTAGTGGGAATATAAACTTAAAAAGTAAATTTGTGTTACCATTAATAAATTTTTAATTATGAATATCTCCATATTCTTCCCTTTTTTGGTGATGTCAGTTAAAATATTAGTTTTTAATCCATTACTAACCAATAAGAATGCATTAATATACATAATTTGTCACACAGCTTTTGAAAACTCAAATGTATAGTCTTTCCTTTGGAGAGATCTAGCTAAGAAAGAAAACTATAACTACCAAATTAAAATTCTAGCCTAAACTCTTAAGTTTAAAGCCTGTAGAAGAAAGTGACAAATTTGGAAGTAGAAGATGGCTTTGGGCCAGGCACGCATGGTGACTCATGCCTATAATCCCAGCACTTTGTGGCCAAGGTGGGAGGATTGCTTGAGCCCATGAGTTTGAGGTTACAGTGAGCCATGATCATGCCTCTGTGCTCCAGCCTGGACAACATATCAAGACCCTGTCTCTAAAAAAATAAAAATAAAGGCTTTGCATTTTTTGATGTAATTTATGTTCACTTTAAAGAAAAAATATTGGCCAAATGTTAAATTTTGTTTTTAGAATGTTACAGATGCTGGTGAAAAGGAAGATAGATGATATATAACATGAGTGGAAAAGTAAATATTGCCTCTTATATTCATTTTAATTTTATATTTAACATAGATATGACTCATACTTGCAAAATATTTCCAGAAAGGGAGGGATTTGACAGACTACTTGGTGAAAAATTATTAATTAATTCACCTACAGATGAAATAAATTTAAGTGATTTCATTTTATTTTATTAATGTAAACTAAATAATTATCTTCTTACGTAATTCTTAACTATTTCGTTCTGATTATTTTATAGGAAAGAAGCAATGGATTTTCATGTAGACCACCAATCAAGGCCCTTTTTTAAGTAGGTGCTAATTTGGGGGTTAGTGGTATATAATGAAGGCTATCCTAGAAAATAAACAGTTACATTTTTACAATTCAAAAATTTGTTACATGAGCATAATCTCTCAAAAGGACCATAGCAACCTCTTGAAACTACACAGAATTCTTTTCTAAGAATTGTTTTCTCTTTTATTAGATAAGAATTCTTATATGTCATCATTAAATATCTTAAACTTTAACCAGTAGTAAATAGGGTAATTTGATTAAGTTACAAAGAAGATAGGTTTCTATTCAGATTTCAGTGGTTTAAAAATAGAGTAAAAATTGTATTTTATGTTGAGTATTTTGTTGTGCTTTTAAACTCTCTTATTTTGGTAATCTTGTATACATAAAACAATGTTCATAGAACCCATGTATTTCAACTAAATACTTTAATATATATTTTGTTTCTTGAAATATAGCAAATAATATATGTTAAATCTCAATATTATAAATATTTGGGATATAATTACATTTAAGTGAGTATTGTGCATCCTCATATTACTATTAACAGACAAAGGAGTATTTACATTTCTAATAAAGAAAAATGTCATATTAGCCAAACTGCTACAATAGACATGCCATTTGGTACCCTACACAGAGTAGTGGGTTTTTTCCTAAGTTTTTATATAAGAAAATTATTATGTTATAGATGATTTAAAATCAAGCATCATAAAATGTTTCTAAGCCTTATTAGAAGAGACATATACAATTTTCTAGGAAATTGGTAGAAATTATTATTTGTTATAGTCTTTGTAGGTGTTTGTAACATTGAATTACAACTGCTAGTTTAATGTCATATATGTAATTCATGTGCAGTAAATTTTATTAAATGGGCGAATTAACTAGTTGCCATGTATTGGGAGAAATATGACAAAAGACTAGCTGAAGTAATTGGAAATCGTTTCATGAAGCCAAAGCAGTGTCTTATGATCAGTCATACCATTCCCTGTATTATTACATGCCACACTCAGAGTATAGGCTTATTCTATTCTGTGTTTTGAGAATTCTGTATTAACAGGACATTAGAGTATAAATTTCTCGAGGGAAAAATCCTGTTTCGTAGCACAGATTCTGATATGTAGTTGTTTCTCTGTGTTTGAGTTCCTTAAATCTAATGGTTGGTTTGGGTTTTTTTGTTTGTTTTGGCACCTAAGGCCTAGGAGAATGTAAATGAGGAGGTCCTCGTGGATCTCTTAGGGTAGAGGGTATGAATACTTCTTTGTACATGCTATTTCTTAGAAATATTCTTCAAAATGAATTGTAGTGATTTAAAAAGGAAGTACTAAAGGAAGTTAGCTCATATAACATGGTGCATTGCTGAAAGAACTTTGTAAAATAGTCATAAGAGACACAATAGGGCAGGCCTGTCACACCATCCTCCTTTCCTCAAGAGGGTCCCATTCTGTCTTTACTTTGGGTGAGAGAGAAACATGGGCTTACTTTGAGCAGTGCTTTGTTCCTGATTAACACAGGAGGAGGGAGGGTATCCCTTATTTCAGCTAAACTTATCATTGCTGCCTTGTACACACATAGAAGTGGAAAAATAAAATGAGGTATTGTTTTTTATACCTTGGGGGACTGTGACTCAGTGCTGGATTTTTAATTAAGAACCTCTGTGTATGCTTTAATAATTTAAGGTAGGAGTATTCAGTACTATTACGCTAATAAAGGATATTTCTCGAAGGCCTGTTGATTTCTTTTTTCTTTATCACTAAACTAACTCAGTGTTTATTGACTGAGAATTCCTTGTCAGTCTTTGAATTCTAATAGTTCTACACGAAAAGAATTAAATAAATTCTTACTCAAAATATATTACAAGGCATCCATCACTGTCATCAATTTCTCTATTATGAAATTGTAGTCGACTGCAGTGGTAAACCACGTGAAAATAAGAAGGAAATCCTCAGTACCTTTTAGAGCAATGGGAGAAACACAGATCAACATTATGCATTTTAAGTCAATGAAATAGTCTTAATGTAACCCAACAGTGATTTTTCTGCTAACAGTAATTGATTTGACATTATTAGTGATCTATAGTGAATTGAACCACTGCAAGACACTCAATTTATTAAAATTTTATCCTGCCCATGTAAAATTCACTATGTCCAACAGTTCTGAGATCATAATATTAATGTCTATGTTGAAATATTCAAATTTAAATATATCCTTGTTGTTAAAAGAGATATCTAGGTTGACAGAAAAAAGAAGCAAATTAATCTCTTACCTATATTGTAGTGAGCTGATCCAGTTTATTACAAGTGGTCCTATTATTGCCATGGAGATTTTAAGAGATGATGCTATATGTGAATGGAAAAGACTGCTTGGACCTGCAAACTCTGGGGTGGCACGCACAGATGCTTCTGGAAGCATTAGAGCCCTCTTTGGAACAGATGGCATAAGAAATGCAGCTCATGGCCCTGATTCTTTTGCTTCTGCTGCCAGAGTAAGGTGTTTTAAACATATTTTAATTCTGTTTTAGTTTTGTTAAATGTTTTATATCAAAGTAAAGCATTTCTGTCACTGGTGACTTAGGATGGATTTATCAAGATGATCTAGTAGTAGAGAAGATCTCTGACCTTTTGCATAGGATCAGACAGTGTTTCAGTGGTATGTCCTTTGTGAACTGGTAGCCTGGTCATGGTCAAGGTAAGTTTTCTCCCATTAAAACACTTGTCATCCCATTTCTTGTTCCAAAGACTTAACTTACTAAGGCTCTTAAATGTTTGAATTATTGAATTCATGTAAGAATACGAGTTTATGGATAGTAGATATTAAAAAAGAAGACATATTTTGATATATTCTTTCTTTGGCTCAGACCTAACACTGTACTTTCAAGCTTAACATCCTTTTATTTTCCTATATATAGCTAGTGTTTATGAAAAAGTTTCCCTATAATTACTCTTTTATTTTAAATCCATATAAATAAAGTGTTACATTGGATTTATACTGAGGTCGAATTAAAGAAGTGCAACTTTATTCTTAGTGTTGTGAGAAGTTTTTCAGCTAAATTAAGATGGTTTTTAATCTGGTCATGTTCACAATGAAACAAAATTAGACAGTTTTTTAATAATTGATTTTTTTCTTTTTCTCGAACTTCATCAGCAAGTCCTTTCAGTTCTACTTTGAAAACAGCCTCTAAATCTGATCATTGTGGTATAAATCACAGTTATATTTTGCCAGGACTATTGAAATTCTTCTTTTCTCCTCTCTTATACTCAATTTATGAAAATTTTACCTTGCCCAAGTAAAATTAACTATGCTCAGTGATCTTTTTAAGACAAATCAGATTAATATTCACCTATTGAAAACCTTCAATTCGCTTCAGGGAATTTCTGTCTTGTGTGGAATAAATCTAAAGTCTTTATTGTAGCCTCCAGTGCTCTACCTGATCTGGTCCCTATCTGTCTCTCTAACGCTCCCTCTCTGACGAATCTGTACCTTAATCACCATGCTCCAGGTACACTGACCATCTTGCTATTCCTCGCATATTTTGGACCGATATAGTCAACTAACAGCAAAGAAGGGAGTGTGGTTGGATGGGCATGAGGGAAGGTGGGGAGGAGTAATGAGGTCATAGAAGTAATCAGGGGAGAGATCATATGGTCTTATAGGCCATAGTAGTACTTTTGGCTTTTTCTCTGAGAAAAATGGAGAGCCATTTTAGGATTTGAGCAAAGGAGTGCCATGTTTGACTTCACATTTAGAAGGATCATTCTGGCTGTTGCCTTGAGAATATCTATAGTGGGCAAGAGCAGCGACAGACAGCTTAGTCAAGAATCTGTTTCAATAACCCAGACAGATGATGGCTTGAACCAGGGGGTAGCAATGGGAGAAATATGTACATGTATTTTAAAATATATTTTAATGGTTGAAAGTCAGATGAACAAGATTTCCTGCTAGATTGAATGTTGAATGTATAATATGAGAAAAAGAGAGATATCAAGGATTGTTTCAAAGTTCTAAGCCTGAGAAACCGAAAGGATAGAATTTACATAAACTAAAATGTGAAAGACTGTGGCTAGAGGCAGTATGGATGGAAAATAAGCAGTTACATTTTAGACATTTTTAAACTTAACATGTTTGTTATTCAACTATAGGTATTGAATGAAAAAATAAGTATGAGAATTTGGAATTTGGGAGAGATCAGGACTAAAGGCATAAATATGGGGGTTGTCAGCATATAAATGGTATTTAAAGCCATGAGACCAGTTGAGATTACCATGAAGAGGGTGTAGATAGAGAAGGAAAAAGGACTAAAGATGGAGCCTTGTGTCCTGATACAAGGTCAAAGAGGAGAAGACAGCAAAGGAGGTCAAAGAGGTGCCATCAGCAAGGTGTAAGGAAAAACTCAGAGATAGTTGTGTTCAGGAGGCTAAGTGTAGAAAATATTCTAAAAGGAGATAATGATTAATGGTATCAATAAGGCAGATATATCAAGTAAGTAGAGGACTGAGAATGGACTGTTAGATTTTGTAATGTAGAGGTCATTCGTGAACTTGGTAAGGTCAGTGTTGGTGGAAAGATGGAGGCAAAACTATGTGTGGAGTGGACTTAAAAGAAAATTGCAGACCAGGAATTGGAGGCAGTGAATATAGACAACTCTTTTCAGGAGTTTTGCTGTATAGGTGAGCAAAGAAATGAGGTGGTAGCTGTCAAGAAAAGCGGGGTCAATGTTTTTTAAGATTAGAAAAATTACAGATATGAAAAATTGATGACGTAAGTAAGACAAAGAGGGAGACTTGCTAGAGCAATGTCATTGATTAGGCAAACAGGAATGGAATTAGAGTCCAGGTGGAGAGATAGGTGTGCATCTCGGTGCATGGATAGTTGTCTATAGCAACAGGTGGGAAGGCAGAGCATGTGAATATGTGGACCCATATGCTGATTCTTAAGAAGGAAGCAAGGTCAAAACAGCTAAAAGTGAGGATAGAGGATAAGATGTTGGTTGTTCAAAGAGAGAGAATATGTGAGATAGTCATCTAAAAGACTAGAAAAAGGAATAGATTAAGGAAATGTTCTATGATTGCTGTACTGAATTAATGACCTAATGCTTGCGGCCATGTTATGAGTGTAGTTGTTCTCCAAACATGTTCTCCAGCATGGCTGTGGGTGCAGAGTAGGTAGAGTACTGGCTTTAATCATAGCTGTGGTTTTGCAAAGCAAAATGATGAAAGGGTTAAGACAGTTCAAGGTATATGCAGGACAGTGATTATAGCCTTTGACCATATCTTAGTAGTAGATGTAAATGTGGTATTGTTTTCTATAGTTAAATTGCCAATCATATTTTTTGAGGTATTACAAAAATGGTAGACATAAATAATTAGTGAAGGAAATAATTGAGGCTGAACTGAAAATCATTGAGTATGTTGGTATTTCCTTCCCATTTCCCCCTATTACTACCTTACCCCATCCATTTCTTTCTTTATTTCTACCAGTTCATTTAATAAATTTGAACACAAATTTGCTTATCAGATTTTAGGTTACTTAGGTTCTGTGTGTGTTTATACACTAGATGATTCCACTAGTGAGTTCCATGAGGGCAGGGATTTTTGTCCGTTTTGTTTTGATCATTATAACCTGCCTACACATAATAAATGCTTAGTAAATATTTGCTGTATGAATGAATTCTCCTAACACTGGTCATTAAGGTCTCTACCTACTTCCCATGAGTGAACAATATTTTTCCCAAAGCATTTACATTAAAAGCTTTGCCATAATATAAATAAAAACGGAAAGAAATGGAAAAAAAAA